ACACCATGACGACCGCCACCTCCCCTATCCTGCTGAAATGGGACCCAAAGAATCTAGAAATCCGCACCTTGACTGTGGAGAGGCTTCTGGAGCCCTTGGTCACTCAGGTAGAACAATCCACTCATAGGTGTAAATATAGTAGGGCAGCAGTAATATGAAAACTGAAATGTCATTTACGATGAGGCCTTGGATCTGTGTCCTGTTAATTAGCAAACAATGTAATTTACTAAGTTTCTGCCTGTGCTATCTTCTATTTTAAACACTGTGTAAAAGCAAAAAGGCAAATCGAATGCTGTATTTGGATTAATGTCAAAGCTGCTAACAGGAAAAATGAAGCAATGTGCAAAGACATACAGCCATATGATTCATTGCCATTCTACAGGTAAACCTTCAAAATTAGAATATGGTGCAAAAGTCCATCTATTTCAGTAATTCGATTTAAGCTTGGGGCACGCGGGATGCGCTGTGCTGCGTTGCTGAGCGCTTCTTGGAAAGTCACGTGGGACATGAGAACAGGAAGCAGGAAGTTACTCAATTTATACATGATCGAACTTGCCGTCGTGTTTTGTGAGACTAATTCAACTGTGGGGTAAGTACGCTATTTATTAAAATATTTTAAGATCAATAGTACGTTATAGTTATGGGTTTAAAGCTGGGTTTGTGCCGTAAAGCCGTTCCACGTCGTAGTGTCTGCTGTAAAGTACTCCACAATGCTGTAAACAGCCGCGGCGCTGCCGCACTTGAGATAGAGCTGTTGCCTATCTTCAGCACCGCAGTGCGGTGCTTCTGGGCAGCAACGCGGTGCTCCCCGTGTGCCCACTCTCCTTAACTATAATGGCTTCTATTTAAAATGACAGCGCGGCGCGTCCACCTCCGGTGTGCCACAGGCTTTAGACTGAAAGACCATCTAAAGGCTCAAGAAACCTTTGCAAGTGTTTCAGATTCATTAGCTGATCAGAGTGTGACACTTTGAGTCTAAAATGTTGAAACTTTTCAAAATATTCTAATTGTCTAAGATTTTGAATTTGTGGTTTTTGTAAGCTGTAAGCCACATTCATTGCAATTAGAATAAAGAAAGGCTTGACATAGCTGGTTTTGGCAAGTAATAAGTCTACCTCATATATTAGTTTCACCCTTTTAGACCATATTCTAATTCTTAAAGTTTCACCTGTACGTCAGTTCCTATACTGTCTGTGTCTGGAAGAATGTAAATTATTTCTGACTGACTATATAGTCCTTTGGTGGGATGGAGTTCTGATTGGGTTTCCAGCGTAGAAGTCAACAACTGTATGTGCAGAAAAATGAGGCACACAAATTAAAAAAAGATCAAAAAACTGAAAAAGCCAATATACGTTGGATGAAGAAGTAGTGTTGGTGATATTCTGAAAATTGGTAAATTCCAGTAAAAGACGAGCAATCTGAGGATGGTTTCATAGTTGTAGATGTTTTGCGAAGGCACGGTTAAAAAAAGGAGGACCAGGTGTGAGGAGGAATTGGATTATGTGGGATTTAGATAAAGGTGGAGAGAAATGTGATGTTGCTGATCGTTACTGATAACATATTGCAGAAGGTTTCTGAGAACTATATGAGGAGCCCTGGGAGAGATGAAGGTATTAGTGACATGGAGCAGTACTTTACATGTTTCCCCATTGGAAAGGACTGTTTGCAGACTCAAAAGTTGTTCTGCTTTGGAAACTAAATCAAACCAGAGTCCTATAAAACAATCATGGATAAAGATTTCAACCTCGAGGCATGATGTAAGCCTCCCTATCTGAGTCTGGCACAGTACTAATGTGATCACTCGGTGTACCAGCAGCTTTCCCCAGCGCTCCAGTGCTTCTTGGTTGACCGCAGAGGGCTTTTTATTTTTCATCAAACCACCGTATTTTACCCCGATGCGTGGTCTCTTCTGTGTTATCATGACAGTCATCTTTTATTTCATCTTTTCTGCTTCTGAAAGTTTAACCGAACATTCTTTCTTTCAAAATGGATTTAGCAGTTTCTTTTCATTTTTTGTGAGAATGCAACTTTTTTATTTCTTTAACTGTTTCACTTTGTCAGGTGAAGCTAAATGATTAAATAATTGAAGTTTTGTTGGCTTTCTTTCCAATTATTTCCAGCATCGTAAATTGACAATGTGTAGTTTTTACCATTAGTCTCTGGAAACATCTATCGAAATGTTGTTGAAAACGGAAAAAATGACGACCAGTTGTTGAAAAATATTGGCGTCTTCATAACATATGACCATGAAAATTTGGTCTAAAATACATGGGAGTGGGTGTAAGTGATGCCATATTGGACGCCATGTTTCCTGCTACGGGAACTCGTGAGGACAAAATGCATTTACTGATTTGTAAAAAAATGGTTACTTTCACCATTCATAAAGGTTGTTTTACACATTTACCTCTTTACTCGTTGCCAGTGATGAAAGGAAGTCTGATGTGCTTGCCATTTTGCTGAAGTTTGCGCTCCCAGGGATTTTGACCCTAATGGCCATCCGTAGATAGTCTTACTCCAACACAAAAATACAGCTTGCTTACAATGATTTAGGTATGTACTGCCCCCTATTGCTAGGGGAAATACACACTGTCACTTTAAAGGTAGAAAAAACCCTATTTTTTTTTAAATATATTCAATCCATAAAATAACACGGCTACTCTACTATTGTTGAGACTCAGAGAACATTTTAGAATGACTGTTGATGATTCTTTTTTAAAGAAGTTATCTTGCAAGAACATGATTGAAAATAATTATTAAATAAGCAAAACCTGAACTTTATCAGACTTTACCAATTGATACAGCTCTACTTAATAAAAGGAAGACACATTATCTAATTTGTCATATTATCTCGCTCATTGAAAGGAAGTTACTGTGAATAGTGTTTATTATAATCTACAGGGAAAGGTGGAAATCCCTTCAAGATGCTACAATTTTATCTGTTGACACTCATTCATCTCATGAACCGAGGCAGCTCAGTTTTCTTAATTTCATTTAGATTAGTCATTTAATTGCTTATTTCTGATTTCTTGTGTAAACACTAGGGCTGGGGGTAAACGATTATTTTTAAAACGATTATTCTGACGATTATTTTATCGAATAGTCGACTATTCTAATGACTATTTAGAAAATTAATCTGATTATTTTTCTATTGCACAATTAACAAAAACCAGAAAATCTCAAATAAATTCCTCAAAAAAATTGATAAATTATTACTGTAAGAGAATAAACACTACGGGCCTTCCATTTTGTATAACACTGCTTTTATTGTGTTGCGGTTGGTTATGTTCTGGTGACGTGTAGATCTTGGGAGTGCAGGCTGCTGCCTGAGAGGTGGTAGAAGATGGAGTGTCTCCATGCTTCTTTGTTTTGGTCACTTTTGAGCGTGAGGCAAGTGGTGTTACGACTCTTCCTGGGGAGTTTGGCTCGTGTGCAAAAAGGAAGGGACAATAACGCAGGATTTAAAAGTTAAAATGATGATCAGGTTTATTTACAACAACAACAAAAAAAAACTAATCTTTCCATCCACAGGTTGGGAATAATAAAACTAATCCTGCCTGTGGGGAATTAAAACAAAGTACAAATAAGTAGGGATCCAAACTCTAAACTGGGTGGTTAAACCAAACTCAAGGTGATATTTTAAACTAAACCGAAAACCCACAACACTCTAAATGTAATAAAAGGGAGATCTGCACCACAAAAAAGATGAACTCTAAACCAAAACGTAACAGCTTATCCCAACGCAAGAAGCTGTTAGCGAAGATGCTAACAGTAGCTTTACCAACGTTAAGTTCAAGTTACCAAGTTTAAATGAACCAAAAATACCCAGCAGCAAACAGACCAGCACGGAGGAGAGACTGCTACCACCAAAACAGCTCTCCTCATGTCTGAAAGAAGCTCCTTTATGAAGGGAGAAACGCTCCCGGTGATTTTCTACATCTGCGGTAGACACGAAGCAGCGCATCTGACCCCGGAAGTTGTTGTCCGTTGCCGGGAGACGAAGGCGGGCAAAACAGGAAAATAATCTAGTAGTGGACGGACATTGTTCCGGGTCTTCGGTATTTGGCGGAGATGTTAGTGAAGGCGGAGAAGAGGGCGAACTAGAGGAAAAACAGGCAGATTCCTCCTCTATTTACAAACTCCTGGGGATGCAACAAGTGGGCGCGGTGCGTCGACTTCCAGATCTGACGTCGACAAATTTTTAGAATCGAGCCGTCGACGTTGTCGAAGCTTCGCTACAGCCCTAGTAAACACTAGGCCTTTCCAACAGACAGGCTTGCAATATCTTGTTTTTCATGTGAGTCTGTCTCATGTACTAGTTTCACCTTTTAAGTTGATTTACTAACATAAATGAGCGTTTGCATCATATACTAGTCTTTTGAGTTCCACCTGTATTCCAGCATATATATATATATATATATATATATATATATATATATATACACACACACACACACACACACACACACACACACACACACACACACATCAGTGAGCATTTCATTTCATATACTTCGTCCCATCAATATCTATGGATAAATGGAATAAATCTATACATTTTCATAAAAGACTAGTAAACTTTTCAGATCAGTGGCCAGGTGAATGTGTAGTTGAGACACTTTGTCACATTTGGCTTCAAAATAAATCTTACTACTTTACCAAAGTTCAGTTTTCTTCAATGCCTTCTGCTCTAATTCAGCATCAGTCTCATTTGTCACCAAAATAAATAAATAAACAAATATCAGTGTGGAAATGTGAAACATTCTAAGGTGTGAACCAGGCTTTGGGATTGTTTCCTTGTCTATTGAATGTGAGTGTTTGGACAGAATAAAGGGAAGCCTCAGGAGGACAAACAGACAGGCTGATGCTGACATTGCTTGCGATAGCAGCATCATTCATCATGACCAAGCTTCTCTCACCTCAGCAAGAGATCTGGACAGGACTGTAGCTAATGCTGAGGGTCGTACTTTGTCACCGTGTAAAAGACATTTTTATAATTTATTGCATTTTTCTGAAGAAATTAAAGAAAGTTTTAAGTGGCAGGTAGGGTAAACATTGAACGAGTCTGTGAATAGCTGATGCTTTGACTTATGAACACAAAACATTTTCC